GGATGGCTATAATAAAACAAAGAAACAATACAAAACGTGTAATGAAAAGCCTAAGAACAATGGCAAGATTGGGTGGAGTTAATTAAGGCATGGTAAACCAAGCCAAAGCCAAGTAAGATAGATCTGATAATATAATAATATGATAAAAGGCCTAATAATAATTAAATTAAGTAAAATAAATACATAGGCCTAACCTAGTTTCTAAATGATTTAAATGATACGTTTATACCTGCTGAAGCTAGAGTGCCTAATTTGTAGATAAGTCTCTCTTCATGTTTCTTCCGAACTGTATCAGTCTCATTACAAAGTTTAATGCCAGTTATAGTGATATCATTCAGAGAGTGGTTAGTGGCAAAATGAGAGGCTACAGGTAGACCTGTTTGTTTGAGTTTAATAGATCTTAAGTGTTCAGTAAACCGTGTTCAGTAAACCTGTCTGCCATTCTTCGTTTAGTCTCTCCAATGTATAGCATATCGCATTTATGGCAGGTAATAGCATAAATTAAATTAACTGAAGTGCATGAAAAGGTGTCATGAATCGTAGCTTGTCCAGATGATCCAGTGATAGTGTCTGCGGAGTACACGTAAGCACAAGTATTACACCTCGGTCTGTTGCACGGAGTAGTAGATCCTTTGGTTATACCAGTAGAGTTGATGGATGAACGTACAAGTTGGTTCTTAAGATTTTTATCTCTTCACACTTGATTAATGGGTGCCATTATCCTTTATTATTATTATTATTATTATTATTATTATTATTAATATAATATATATAATATATATAATATATTGATAATAGTATAACCATATTGTGGGGCTGATGTAGTACAGACCCTCCATCTGTGGGGCCCCCTCTATTTCAAATGATCCGCCACTGATGATGCTAAAGGGGATTGACTTGGCAAAGTTATTTCTTGAAAAGTGACGTACCATATTAGTATTGGAGCCATGTATTTTTGTCAAGCGTCAGCCCGACTCATTAATGGGAAACATCAGGAAAATATAGTTTCGAATCTGTATTTTCCAATTACACTAAAAACTTGCTGACTGCACATCTATTAGTCACTCCTCCCTGCAGAAACAAGTATATTCTACAAAAATATAAAACAAGAAACAAAAAAAAACAAAACAAGGGATTCAAACACTTACAAAATTTAACCTGGAAGCACAAAGAGACGTCTGTTCTGTATTTGCGCAAGTGACCGTTTGGTCGGTCGTCGTCACAGATAAGTTTTAGTCTATGCATGGACCTATTAATAGGTCTATGGTATATGTAGGCCCTACTATTGTTAGGCCCAATTAGGCTGTAGCGTTCCTCGCCTCCTTTGTTTGTTGACCATAAAGCATTGTACGTAGGTCCATGAAAGACAAAAACGTAATTCTGTGATGGAAGCTTTAAGTCTGGTCCCCTGTCAATTTTTATACGTTTGTTACGATTTTTTCGCGATAACACTACCTTTCTGTTCACATTCTGACTTAAATTATTTATACGAAATAAATGTAAGCAATGAATTAGTAAAAATTAATGAATTCTCGAGATTATGCTTTATGTCAGTTCGAGGTTTTACGGTATGTTAAACAACTCAAGCGTGCCATTAGAACCATTACTTTTTAAGTATTACAGTACTGTACTATCAAACGCCATGAACAAACATCGAACAATAGGAACAATAGGAACAATTAGCACGCCCTGGTCGGCTAGTGGATAGGGCGCGTTCAGTAGTACCTACCGTACATGTGTGGCGATTGCAATATTCAGTGATAGTGAAGTGTCCGTTTTTTTTTATGAACGTTGATTGATAAAACAACATTTATTAATTGAATTTTCGCGAATTTCTTATGAAACACTTTTTTTTAAATACTGAATTTCGGCGACTGCAGTCGGAATACAACGGTGTTTTAATTGGTTCCTATTATTTTAAAAACTATTTTTACGCAACTAATAATTATAATTATTATTTAACACAACAGGAAACATGCACTCGGCCATGATTACAAAATTATATAGCCTCAATTTTATAGCTCCGGACTACACACACTCCACCTACCAAGTCGGAAGCTTTTATTTTTCCGGAGGGAGTGATGAGGGTAGAGGGTCTTAAAATCTTTGAGTCCACATCAACACTTTAAGTGTACTGTACGCATGTGTATATAACAGACTCCATCTTGTAGGTACTAGTTTTGATGAATTGTTTCATAATTGTTTTCATAATTTAAATGTACATACAGTATATGGTTTGCAAATAATAAATTAAATTAAATGTATCGAGTAATGAAATTTAAATTGTGGGACAAAGTCTCGTCATGTCCGACATCATAAGTAGCCTAGTACCAAAAATGTATCCACCCTTTAAAATGTTGTGCACCAGTACCCTTTACATTTTTTGAAAAACATTTTATAAAAAATTCCGCCTTTAAAAAATCCTGGTGAGAGGGCTGTAGATAAATAGAGAGATAGATAGACATAAGACAGACAGGCAGGTTTTAAAATTTCTACTTACTTCCTAAATAGGCCTATTTTATGAGTGTATTTGTACATGTGAGTAGTTGCATACCGTACCTATTCTTTTTTTCTTTTTTTATGAATCAATTAACCCAAAAGTGAACGGCGGAGGTCCGGGGTCTTCCCCGGGACAATGTGTTTTCCCGACTTCTGAGGTGTCTTTTAATTGCTTAAGTTTTTCAGGTTTCCCCCTCTTGAAAACGATAAATCCCAAAGTGAAAGGGGTCCGGTTCTCCCCGGGACAGTTTTGATTTCTAGATGGCGAGAAGTTTATCTGACTTCTGAAGTGTCTTTTAATGACTTTTTAGTTCATCGAAATTCAAAGTTTTTTCCTCTTGTAAACGGTCAGGTAAATGCTCTTATTTTTATTACAGTAAATAGGTAGGCATAGGGCTATGTGTGTACCGGTATACACGGGGAAAAAATTAGTAGTTGCATACGTATTCTTTTTTCCATGATTCGATGAACCCCAAAAAGAAAGAAGGGTCGGTAGGGTCTCCTCTGGGAAAATTCTGATTCCAGATGGCGGGAAATGAGCTTACCCGACTTGTAATTTTCTCATTGTGGGTCCTGAAAAGGTAGGTCTAGAATTGTTTTTTCCAAATCCGCCTATGATTAACCCATTTTCGACTAGGTATCGTGTTTGTTTTGCATCAGTGGTTGCATTGATTTGACTTGTGTCCATAGAGATATAATAAGAATACTAGAGCGCTAACTGCAATGTATTCGATGTTCGAAATACGCAGAGCTGTGTGCGTGTACCATCCAAGATGGGATTCAGCCAATCAAATTTCGCCTAAGCGCCGTCGTTTGCAATTGCGCCCTCAATTTACACAGAACGTTCAGTACATCATGTTT